GAGGCGGTGGTCGATGTCGTCGAACTATCTGACAGCGCCATCTCAGCGTACACCTACGAGCGAACGTTAAAGATGGAAGAACGCAGTCGTCTTGCCGCCGGCTTGCAACTCTCTGCCAGGGAGCTTTCAGTTCAGGTACACGTGCGAGAGATGCTTTAAAATGAGACATGATTTGTAGTAGGTAATTAAGACTCGCGCTCACGCATAGGCCACGGGGTCAGTGGTATACAAATGAGGTACGGTAAAATGTGTACGCTGATTTGGTTATATTGACCCCAAAGAAGCATCATGAACCATGAAACGGTAGGAAATGCAACGGCGAACCTTCTTATGCTTTTAATACAAAACTGCCGAACAAGGGACAGGCTTGTTACGAACCACCGCGGAAAGGTGGGAGGGAGTACCATCCCTGTTTACCTCCAATACTAGCATAACGAAAGCTTTTCACCGTAATGCCTGCTCCTGAATCAAATCAGTCAGTGAAATCTCTTCGTCTTTATGTATTTAAGAGAAAAAATTTAATCCAACTTTTTCGAAGAGGTAATACTTTTACAGTAATAGGCGTTTCTTCCGGAAGACTTAGGCACTTGTTTTAAATTCAAGTGTTTTATAGCGCTTCAACAGCTTAACTTAGCTTCAACGTTTAGGCGCCTTTACTATTCAATTCTTAGCGAGATCCGTAAGAGCAGTTTTAAATCTTGATTTTCGTGGTAAATGAAACTTTGCATAGTTACTGCCTGCTCCGTTGGTGTAGCAAGCATTAATTGGTACCGGATTTAAGGCTTGGCATGAGGTTGGACCTAGTTCTATGACGGCCTATGGATAAGTAAAACTGAAGCAACACAAGTGACCCTAGGATTTAGCGAAAGACGTACTTTTGTTTAGCATTGTCAGACATACTGGGCTAAAAGACCAGACTTTTTCATATTTTTATGCCTGAGTGCTGCACAGTCATCATCCGTTGTATAACTACATTGAAGTAAAGGACAAGAGACTCTAAAAAAGAGGGGTAACATAAAGGCATGCCTGAGCAGAGCAGATGAGAGGGTTTCTTCTACGTTGAAACATTACCGTAAAAATTTATGAAATTTCAATGGCATTCCAGTCTTTACATGGGAATAAAACAGAATTATCTGCAAAGAAGCCAACTGCAGAAATAGGTATATTCCCGAACAAGTTGAAAGTGAGAGCAAAAGAGACTTGTGAAAGTAACCATTTAGTGAAAACGGGAAGGGAGTACATAAAATTCACTATATCACACTGTGAAGGTACTTAACGAATTTTTAACATGGTTGGATCGATTCCTTGCTCAAAGTAGCAACTAACTGTAGCATCCGCACGCACAACCAGAAATGTAATGCTACCACTTCGTCACTGACCGCCTCTTCTCGTGGTGGCAGGACCCCTGTTTCTTTGTATAACGTTCAAATCTCCATTTTGTTTAATAGTAATAACTGGCTTAGTATATCTGTATAGTTCTTTTTATATATGTGTATATTGTGTATCTGTATAGTATATTGTATCTACTTTTAGCCTCAATTACTTGCTGACCGTTACCACAGTCAAAATCGCGAACGAAACGCAGTCAACGAAAAGGAAGTGCCTAACGCTGCACTCGAAGAAATAACAGAGCAAGAGCCTATGACCACTGCCGACGCTGCAGCAGGATATCAGTCGAATACTACCGCAGTGAAGGAGACCGATGAGGAGGTTGACGAAAGTGAGGAAGTGCTAAACGAACTGGCCAATCAGTTCACGTTCAGTCCGAGTGAGAAGCAGCTGCGGTTGGAGGAAGAGAACCGCCGGTTCCAGCGTCGCATC